CAAATGTGAAGGATACAAATGTGAAAGATGTAAATGTGAATGATACAAATGTGAAGGATACAAATGTGAATGATGTAAATGTGAAGGATACAAATATGAAAGATACAAAATCATGTGAAGGATACAAATGTGAATGATACAAATGTGAAGGATACAAATGTGAATGATGTAAATGTGAAGGATACAAATGTGAATGATACAAATGTGAAGGATACAAATGTGGTCCCCATGTAGAGTGGTGACTTTGGGTGTGCATGCTGGGTGAAATTAGTTGTAAATGGAGGGCTAAAGTTAACTTTTACCACAAAATCTACCTCGAAACTGGCTTTCCCTCTATAACCATAATGGCGAGCCATCAAGTAGTATGCCTTGATGCAAAGTTTGATGCAACTGGAGCTCAGTGTAAAACTAAGGAATTCTCTCTGGTTATTTTTCTCTTTTTTGGGGGAGTGGGGTGGGGTGTTTTATTTTTAATTTTTATCTGGCCTAACGTTTATATTCAAGCATGTGTAGGCCTGTGTGTATATGATATGAGAAAGGGTCTGTGTGTGTGTCTGTGTGTGTGTGTGTGTGTGTGTGTGAGAGAGAGAGAGAGAGAGAGAGAGAGAGAGAGAGAGAAAGAGAAGGACAGAAAGACAGACGGACAGACAGACAAACACACAGACAGACAGACAGCAGGACAGACAGACATACGTGTACATTACTTTCGGATTAAGATTAATGTTATATAAAAAAGATTATTATTCGATATGTACACATGTAAAGAACAACCGTACTACATAATATTGTACGTCAAATGATTGATGTATGTCATGTTAAAAGTTTTCCCTGTGGAAAAAAAAAAACAAGATTTAAAATCAACATTCCTGTTAAACTAGAGTAACAGAAAGACAAATGTTTAGCCTACATTTATTTTCAACCAAAGTACACAATCCCTATTTCATGTGCCATTATTTCAGCAAATAAAAGAGCTCTCCTTCCCCTAGAGACGCAAGTAGAAAATTGGTTAATCGAGGACAGAATCTAGTTTACTAACAGGGTGCGTAAGAATGATTCAGTGATTTGATCACAAAATCAATGAGGTCCTAATTTGTCTCCAGGATCGAGTGCCGTCTATGCTGAGAGAGTGGGACGTTGATCAGTTTTTCATGCCGTTTAAGAACTCACTGGCCACCACCAAGTTCCCTTCCGATATTAAGTAAGTAGAGAGAGTGGTTGCGGTGTGTTTTCATAACGATTGGTCTTACAATTTTTGTTTTTGTTTTTTTGTATTTTTTTTTTGTTTTTTTGTTGGAGGGTTTTTTCGCTTCTCCTTCAGTTCATGTTTTGTTTTGTTTTGGGGGTTTTTTATGGGGGTTTTTTTCTTTCTTCTTCAGTTCAAAAAAATGTTTTCTTCATTTGGTTTTTTTATTCTTTGTGAGGACACAAGTTTTTGTTCTTCATTATTAACATTTAGTTATTTCTTTTCTTCTTTGTTTTCATTTTAAGGAATAATCAGCGTAAAGTTATATAAAACAATATTGTCATATATTTAAGTCCTTTTTTAATGCATAAGATATTCATTTACATTGTATTTGCAACATCGAGAAACGACTGGCAGTTACTGTTAAATTATTTATCATTATCTGAAAGCTCCCGCCAGCCCCACTCCCTTTTCCCCCTAGTTTTTGTCATCTAAAATAATCTCTCTAATATCTCTTCTCTAACTCCCCTCCCCCTCTTTTTTATTCAAAACCCCTCACCCCTCCCCTTTTTTCTCCAACC